AACTTTAATGAGAGCATTGCAATGCATTCTTGTTTGATTTATTATTTATACGACCTCTCATATCTTACGTATAAAGCACTTGTTGGAGTGTTTTGGTGGTCTAAAATGCCTTCCTTTTTACTGAAATGCCTCTCTGTGTACATCTTTTGGAGAAAAAAAAAATGTACAATCCACTCGTTGTGCCGCTCATTGTACATGTTGTGTGGTTTATTCTTTTGGTCATGGTATATTGATTTTTTATAGTTAAGCCATATAATTAAACTTTTTTTTTTATAGTTAAGCCATATAATTAAACTTTAGTCACTCAGACTTGACTTAATTATTAATTTAGCTTTCAAATTTGACTCAGTTATCAATTTATTAGCCCTTGAAGTTTAATTTTTATTGGTCAAATCCTTGAAGTTTTACAATCATACATAATTAGTCCTTATAATGCAATTTCCCTTTTATTTTTATTTTTTTATAATAGCATTATTTTCCTTTTAAACCATAAGGATTAATTACATAAGGCTGTGAAACTATAAGAACTTGAAAGATAAAAATTAGATTTTAAGAACCAAATCATTAACCCAGATAAATTTAAAGGATTAAAAGTTTTATCATCCCATCTTTAAATATCAAAATTGTGATATCTTCTCTCACAAAAGATGATGAGATACAATTATCATTATGTTGTGGAATCATTTTATATAAGTAGAGTCCAGAGACGGGTTTATGTGCATGATGGCCATTGTCTGAAAAAAAATGACATTATACATAACATATCTATAGGATGGTAAATTTTACCTTTTTATTATTAATATTGATAATTTGTATTGATAAAATTTAGACAATTAAATTTTTCGAATAAACAAAAAATTTAAGTAAATAGATATAATTCGGAAATCCACCGACTGTACTCTTTTCCAGCAAATTAAAGTTACAAATAGAAAATAGAGTTTGAACTCAAACTCAAAAGTCTTAAGCGGAGCGTATTAAATTTAATAGGTTCACTGTATAGAGCGAGAATGACAAGTAAATTTTTTTAAAATAAAAAAATAATAATTTAATTCTTAAAATATTATAATAATAATGAGATTTCAAAAGACTTCATTGAGATTAAACTTTTGCATAAAATTATTTTAGCGCTTCTCTGCAATTATTTTATATAATTTATAAGTTTAATATAAATATTCGTAAGTTCAATTCTGCAAATGACTAAAATAATTTAGAAATCATAACTTTTTATTAGTAATTTTTTTAATTAGCAAAACCCAACTAATTTTATATGATCCATAAATTTGATATAAATATTTAAACTTTAGTTACACTAATAGCTAAAATGATTTAGAAAATTATATTTTTCTATCAATAAAATCTAACTAATTTTATATTGTTTATAGGTTTATTATAAATGTTCACAAGTTTAGATCTAACAATGACCTACACGATTTATAAAATCACAATTTTTTAAGTCGTATAGGAGCATTAAAGTAATTTTACATAAAAGTTTAATTTTAAAATAATCCCTTAAAACCTCATTGTATTATTATCAAAATTCATGAAATCAAATTTTCTTTTTTTTTTAAATTTTAGAAAGATTTGTCAGTCATTCTACTTTATATAAGGATTATATATATATATATATATATATGTTGGAATAAAAATAAGCTCAAAGAAAAGTCTGAAAAATTAAATGAATTGCAAGTTGGATTGGAGTGTGTTGATCGTGATCATCGTGTGGTCCATCATTCTTGTGCAGGAAAGGCTGCCAGCATCGAACAATCTCAAAAACCCCATGCAGAGATCAGTCTTGGCAAATGATTTAAAAAACTAAGATTGAACTTTGTGGCCCCCTCTCCAAAGACACGAGTAAGTAATTAATTAATTGTTAATTAAGAGGACAGTACCAATTAATTAAGTGGATTTTTCTGAGCATCCTGTAGGGGTTATGATTAGCAGTTTAACAAGACAACAAAATTTGCCGCTTTAATGAACCAACCCCAATTTGGAAACGTGGCTCATTATATTTATTGTGAGTCTAAAGCCTATCCCTCCTTCTATTACTTTCCACTAATCACCACTATCATTAAAGCCAAGCACCATGCTTGCCTTCTAAGCGAAATGTTTCTACACCCTAATCATACTTAATCACATCATTTTTCCTTTTCTTCCATATATATTTAAACAACTCTAATGTAAATTACATATATTACTCCTATCCTTAATATAAGATATGTTAGCCATAATTTGAAATTATAAAAAACAAATGTAACTTTCTAATTTTACTTTTCTTTATAATTTATTACCAAAATAAATTGTTATTTGGACAATAAATAAACAAAAGATAAAATTTTTAAAAAAATATATTTTAACTCCGTCTTATATTTAGGACCAAAAAAAATGTTAAACTTAAGGCCATTTTAAAAAAATTTTATTCTTAATATAGACAAAGTTAAAATGATTAATTTTTTTCAATTGTACCCCTTATCTATTTATTATGATTTGAATTTTCAGATAATAATTTATTATGGTTATTAATTGTAAAGAAGGACAATATTAAAAATTATATACTTTTTTATTTAGAATATAACTATCATTTCTTAATATGTGTAAAATTTGATAAGTTTACCTTATATTAAGAATTAGAAGAGTATATGTAATCAATATTATCATATGCTTGTTACTTTCTCTAATCTTAAATATAAAAACATTTTTAAGTAATTCATCACGATTAAGAAAACTTGTCAAATTATTTATTTGCAATCTATGTGTTAAATATTTGTGCTACTTATTCATTATCACCCTTAGCATTTAATGACAAGTCTTAACTAGTAATCGCTTTTTATCTAGAAAAAATTAATCATTGATTATGCGTAATTTGGTGAAAAAAGAATTTAATGTGGGAAACAAAATCGATGGGGTTCTTATCTAAAGGACTAATGAAAAGTGCTTAAAAGAATCCTATATTTACAACTAGAGGTAGATGGGATCCATTACAAATGTCAATCAAATAATATTTAATATTGTTAATAAATCATATTTTTAACAAAAGTAAATATTATTCTTAAAGACATTTAAAAATATTTTGATTTCAAGAAATATATGCATTAAAAATACATTAAATGTTTTTTTTAAAATAATCCCATATCTCATATATGAGACTAACCTCTTGAAAAATATGAGTGTCATTTAAAATTGAAAAAAGATTTATCTGTTACTCTTAATAGTTAATACCCTAAGTTAGATCAGGTAAAAAAAAAAACAGAGAAATACCTTAAGTTAGATATTCTATGTTGGAAGGAACCTCTTCCTTATATACTTGCCAAAAATAAAAATATTAAATTTTTTTTACAGTTTTAGTAATATTAATATATGACATCAATACTTGTTACAAATAGACCAATAAAATTATTTAAGCTGTTTAAGTTTGTAGCAAATATGATTTCTTTTCTTATAGAAAAAAAGTCAAAGAATGATACCTAAGAACCCACACTTAATTTTTTATTCAACAAGCTTAACAGGGGATATTCATGAAAAAATATTTAATAACAAAACAAAACACCTAGAGCGTTCCATTAATCATGAGAGATTAGCCATGCGTGGCCGCTGTTATTACCATTTACTCGCTAGAAAATAAAATATGAAATATTGATAACTAATTCACTGTTTTTAAAAAATATTAGTTGAAAATCTTATTTTTTAAAGAAAAATTTATATCTTTTCACTTTTATTCTCATCAAAATACCTTGTATAAGGCTTTAATAACAATAGTTAAAATTTCAACACATCATTGTTTTAAAAAAAGAATAATAAATACTTCTTCCATTAAAAAATGTAAGTTATTTTTAATTAAATTTTATCTCCTAATAAAGTTATTACCCACTTTTAAACTAATCCTATCTTTTTATATTTTTTTTATTAAACATCCTATAATAAATATAAAGCTATTCATTAATAGAGGCACATTTTAAAAAAAAGCAATAATTATACCTCAAAAGACTCAAAATGCCTTATATTTTTAAACATTCAACTCTTCAAAAAATATTTTATATTTTTGAACCAAGGGATTAGAAGTAAACAAACCTTAATTTCTTAAATAAATTATATCATTTTAATTTTACCTTTATTAAATAACCTATATAAATGTTTTGATGGTAATAGTTAAAATTACAAAACATTATTTTTTTTGAAAAAATAAATAGACATAAGGGTATAATTAAAAAGAAAATTTTAAAAATTACACAATACTCTATATTTTATATTAAGCAAGATTTCTAAAAAAAATATTCAATATTATGATTTGGAAAGAGGAGTGCCAATTTGCCATTATCAAAAATCAAAAACAAAATAATGGTTCAGTGAAATTATTTACTACACAATACTTTTGAGTTTTTCGACCCCGAAAAACCAAAAAAAAAAAAAAAACTTCATGAGTTTATGTTAGATAACTGAAACTCTGAATCGCGTTAGCTCCATCCAGCAAACTTGAACAGGATGAGTTGATCTTTTCACTTTTATTCTCAATAAAGTACCTTGTATGAGGCTTTAATAACGATAGCTAAAATTTCAACACATCATTGTTTTAAAAAAAGAATAATAAATAGAAGTAAACAAACCCTCTTTTAAAAAAATCATATCATTTTAATTCTACCTTTATTAAATAAATTATATAAATGCTTTGATGGCAATAATTACAACTACAATACATTATTTTTTTAAATAAATAAAATAAAGGTATAATTAAAAAAATAATTATAAAAATTATACAATACTCTATATTTTAAATTAAAAAAATTTCTTAAAAAAAATGTCCAATATTATGACTTGGAAAAAGGAGTGCCAATTTACCATTATCAAAAACAAATAATGGTTCAGTGAAATTATTTACTACACAATACTCTGAGTCTTCGACCCCAAAAAAAAAATGTTAGATAATTGAAACTCTGAATCGCGTTTACTCCATCCAGCAAACTTGAACAGGACGAGTTCATCCCCCCCCCCCCCCCACAAAACCCTCCCAAAAAAATAAAAAAACCAGATCTTAAATTGGTGTAATCACAAAACACAGTAGGCCCACTAAAAAGATAAGAGTAATTCATAAATTCATCATTAAGAGGAATTAAGATAAGATGGTTAGAGGTTCGGTTCATGCAGGAGTTCACCAAACTCATCAATGGCATTATGTCCATCACGTTATTTCTGCAAAAGTTGCCACCCCTCCATTAATGAATGGCGACAGAACTTGCAGAGATATCAATATAATCATCACAAGTTCCACCGCAAGATCATTTCATGATATACTTGGACAGACAGGTATGGGCATTTCTGGAGCTGCATGCGTTTATGATTAAAGCTTCAATCCAAGTCCATGAATCAGATTTTCAGATTGAGACGGCGCTCAGAGATCTACTAACAAGAGAAAGATGAATGAAACGGAACATCCCTGGGAATGATATTAAGATTTTCAGAAGCTATTATTATGAACAGAGAGATAATTAAACACCATATAATAACTTTTTAACAACTAGTGATCGAGTTTGTTCAAAAAAAAACTAGTGATCAAGAAAAACTGGATCTTCGTATGGCCTGGCTTTGAATAAACAAACAGATCGGGCTGATCAAGAAGACCCATCAACAGAGACTTGAAGATTAATACAGCTACCTTCATTCTTGTGATTATCGTCGTTAATGTCACAATTAAACCCACCTCGATTATTATTACCAGCTGCACAGTCATCACCTTCATTGGTAACTTTCTCAGTTTGGGTATTTCCGATTTCTGATTTTTTCCTGAAAGTATTCTTGTTGTTGTGCATCCAAACCTTGAACACTCCTCTAGAGACCCCAATCTCGTTGCAGAAATCTTGTACCGTTCTATCATCTCCTTTCTGCATTCTCCAACCCAATTTCTCAGAGAAATGAAACATCTTCTCCTTCTGCTCTTGGCTGAATTTCGTTCTGTGCCTCTTTCTCCCACCCGGGCTCTCCTCCACCTTCATCGCTGAGGAATTCATGAAGCTACTCCGATGCTGCTCATCGGACGGACCAGAATAAGCGTTGCCGAGTGCGATCAGCATGTGCGGTGCCGATGTGGGGTAAGGAGGAGGGAAATGCGACACCGGCGGCGGCGACGGGCTTGACAACTGGCTCGGACTGGTGCTGCTCGGGCTTGAGCTGGGGCTCATGCTCGGGCTGGTGCTGGGGCTTAACCCCCGAGGAGCTAGCGGCGGCGGAGGCGGCGGGGGAAGCGGGGGATAGAAGCAGCTTAAGAAGTTGGGGCTGGAGTAAAGAAGCTCTTGGGGGTCACGGCGGTGGAAGTTGCGGTGGCAGCCGCACGCGGCGCATTTGAGGGACCGCGGGTCACTGGGGTTGGAGGCGGAGGAGGGCATGAACTCGCCGCAACCATCAAGCGCGTGGCCGCCGATGCTGGCGGCGTGGTTCTTGAGGCATTCCTTGTAGGAAACTACCGCAGGAGGTGGCGGATGAGCCGAAGGGTGGTGGCGCTTGAGGGAGCCGTTGGTGAAAGACAGAGATTTGGTGGTGCTGGTGGGGTGGGCAAGTGGTGGGTTTGCAGAGTGCAGAGAATCCAAGGGGCCGGTGACGGTGGCGGAGGTCAAGTCCATGACTGGAAGAAGGATGAAACAGGGAAGAAGAGGGATTAGGGTTTAGAAAAAGATTAAAGCATCGTTTTGGGGGGGTAGAATGGTGGGCTTAGGGTGTAAGAAAAGAAGAGAGAGAAAGTGGAAATGGGAATTGAAAAGGTTTAATGGCTGTGAAGAGAGATGGTTGTGGTTGTGGTGAAGCTTCAACGTGAATGTGATGATGACGGTTATAATGCGAAGTCAAGACAAAACTTGAGGCTTGACGTTTGAACCCAACTGAGGCCAGACAGGCATCCCCAGTTAAACAATATAATACTATATAAATAATCATTTTAATGAAAAAAATACTAATTAAATACCCAAACAAAAGAATCTCTCGATTCATTTTAGGTCTGAGTTAAACGTATTTTTTTATTTATAAAACATTTGATGCTGTTTAATGTTTATTATAGAGTTCACTTAAATTTGGAAATTGTTGAATGGATACAAAATAGCTATTTTAAGCTCTTTTTTTTTTTTTTCCATTTACTCAACTTCGAGCTTGACACTCGCTTTGAGTAGATGCTGAAAGAAAAATAACTCCATTCATGTCAAAAGCGAAGAATAACTTCAAATTTATTTGTTAGGTATCCTCCGTTTCAAAATATAATATATTTTCAACTATAGTTTAAATATCAATAAAATTTAATTATATTTTTATTTTTAGTTTTCAATATCATAAATTTTTTTTATTTTTTTTAACTGTCAATAATAAATTAAATGAGAGAGATAATATTTTTAATAAAATATTATAACATGAGAAAGCGTAAAGTAGACTAATAAAGTTATAGCTATCATAAAGATTGAAAAAGATGTAATAAATATCAATAAGGTTAAACAACAAATCAAGTTAATAAATACAAGAATAAAATAAGAAAAAAAATTTTCAATACCTACTAAGTACTCTCTCCATTATAAAGTATTTTTAACTGAATTTTATCTTCAATAAAGTAGTTACTTATTTTTAAACTAACCTTATCTTTTCATATTTATTCCTATTAAATATCCTATAATAAATATAAAGTTATTATCAATGGGAACATTTTTGAAAAGAAGGTAACGATTATATCTTGAAAGATTAAAAATACTTTATATTTTTAAACATTTAAATTTTTAAAAAATATATTATATTTTTTAAGTAAGGAAGTATTTTATATTTTAAAATAAGATTAGTTGAAAAAAATATATCTTATAACTGAGATCGAAGGAAGTATGTTTTTTATTTAAAATTTTAATTTTTATAAGTCAAATGAACATTGGGGAAAATACAAGAGTTTGTCCCCCAAGTATTGATTCCGTGAATTTTATTTTGGGCAATAAATAGTACGGAGTAGATTAGGTGAGAACCTGAGAATGCATTTGTGGGGTGACTGATTGGCATAATGAATGTACAAAGTTGTGATGACCACTTTAATTTAATAATTAATACAGTCAGTCATAAAATTATACAAATGTTCGAATAAAATTATTTTTTTTTCCTCAAAAACATATAATGAGCTCGAACGCAATTGAATCCCTGTATTAAAAAAAGAGAAAAAAAACGAACATGATTATTGCATTGTTGAAAATAAGAGAGCGGAAGAGAGACAGGCCTCTCATGCGGCTTTCTCGTATCTTCTAATTGGATTTCGGGTTAAAGTTTTGGTGGGCGTACTTCTAGCCACTTAATGGTTTATTTCCTCGAATCATAATATAGTAAGTCGTTTTCTAATAATTTGATTTGGTTCAAAATATAATATGGGTAAGTGTTATATATATATATATATATATATCAATTACATTCGTTGGTTGAGTAATTGTTGATGATATTTTGAATAGATCAAATAGTATTTGTTACTCCTTCAGTTCTTATAATATAAGGTGTCTTTTATAAAGTTATTTTATCCTTACATATAAAAAATATTATAATATTTTTAAATAATTAAAAAATTTTATCCTTATATTTATAGGCAGTGCTAGGTATAATTTAGGAAAGACAAATGCATCCCTTGAATTTGAAAAAAATATAATAAAATATTATATATTTCACTATTTTGCACCTTTGGCTTAATTATTTTGTACCCATTAACACAATTTTAAAAATATTTGAGTTCTAAAAAATTTTTAAATATGTTCAGATCAAGCCCAAAAATATATTGCACCCTTAGCCTAGGGTCTTCGCACCATCATTGCTTGTATTGATAAAAGAGAAGAGATATTAATTATGTGTTTTACCCATTACCACTATGATATTAATTGACATTATTAGAGATAAAATTAACAAATTATTGTGATTCAATAGGACTTGAACTAAATGACAAACTTTTACTAATGCACATGATTTAACTAAAAGTGTTTTATATATAGAGACATAATGAATACACAATTGAAAAGATGTGAATTTTTTAAACATTAACATTTTAACTAAATTTTTTTTAATAATATAAATTAGTTAACAATGATGTGTATTATAATCTATAAGAAGTATATTATATGCATATAATTTTTCAATTCAATATTATAGGATATTTTTACTTGAATTACATCTTCAATGAGTTAATTAATTATTTTTTAAAATTACATTTTTATGTTTACTATATTTCAATTAAAAATATTATTAATTATAATCCTTAATTAAGGATATTCTTTGAAAAATCTTATTAATGAAAGTTCAAAAAAAATATGAAATACGATACTCACTTCGTTAAAAAATGTAAGGCTTTTTTTAACGAGTTGAATGTTAAAAAATATAAAATATTTTTATTTTTTGAAATGTAATTATTATTTTTTAAGTATTTTATTGTTAATAATTTTATATTTATTGTAGGATATTTAATAAAAATAAATATAAAAAATTATGATTAATTTAAAAATAAATAATTATTTTGTTAAAGAGTAAAATTTAATTAAAAATATTTTTTTAAAACGGAGGAATATAATATCAAACGAATAGAATAGATAGATATTTACATTGACGTGGTATATATATTGACATTGAGGATAGACACTAGACAGATATGGGGGATTACGTGGCAAAAGCCCGGGGACATTAAAAAGGGGGAGTGGGGGACAGCACGTAAGCTCGCAAATGCAAACACATGAATGCTGGTTTTGCTTTATCTCATTCATGCTCCTTCCCAATAAGGTTGCCCATCCCTGCTCGTCAATCTCAACCCCTCTCCTTTTATTGTTTTTATTTTTAAGTTTAAGTATTTCCTCCCGTCTAAATTATTGAAAATTTCAGTTCCTCTTAATTCAAAATATAAAACATTTGATAAGTTTTGAAAATTTTTTTCTTATTTCATCTTTATATTTATTAACTTAGCTTGTTGTATAGTATTTATTATATTTTTTTCACTTTTTATGATAGTTAAAATTTTATTGATATGCAAGAAGGATCATATTTTCTCATGTTATAATATTTCGTTGAAACATACCATCTCTCTCATTTAATTTATTATTGACAATTGGGGAGAAGGATAAAAGGAAAAACTTATGATATTTTAACTAAAAATAAGGATATAATTGAATTGATCCATGGCTAGATAAGATAATTTGGACAGACTATGTTTATTTGGGTCGGATTCAATTCGTGCCAGCTTATTCAAACTGAGTTTAATGGGTTTAAAGTATTTTACCTTCTTAAAAAAACTCATATAGCAAAGCCCGACTCTAATTTTTTTTAATTGTGTTCAGGCTTGACCTGAGTTACCGACTTTATCCATAGTTAAGTTTAAAATGTTCATTAACATTTTGAATAAAGTTAAGGGGTAAAAATAACTTTTAATTTTATATTTTTATAATTGACCTTCTTATTATTTACATCTTTAATGCCTCCTGCTTTCTTTCATGCATAATCAACTACTCCCCTCATTTCTATTTGCAAGAGAAAAAAAATATTATATAATTTAAAAAATTAGTTAACTATATTAATTGTGATTCAAAATAAAAGAATTGGACTGCAATATCCTTTATCAATTGTGTTAATCAAGCCTTCATTAATTTTTTTATTACTATGAATATAAAATTATAAGTGATAATTTAAGAAGTTTGTAATAAATACCTACTAAAAAATGTGATTTTGTGTATATAAAAAATAAATTAAAAATGATAGTTTTTTTTATAAATAAAAACAGAGGGAGTATGTGTCCTAAGTAATCTACCAATGCTATTATATTCCTTCCTATTTTTATTACAAAGTACTTCTATCCACCTAGTTAAATCAATGAGGGATAATTAAGTTATTAACTTTATATAAAAATATATAAACTTTTGTTTATGAAAAAATATATATAAATTTTTAATTTTACTCTTATTTAAATAAAAAATTTATATTTGCATTAAATTCTATTTTATAGTTAATTAATTTAAATAGAAATAATATTAAGAAAATATAATTAATATATCATCAAATATCTTATATTAAAAATTATTAATTTTTTTAAAATACTGTATGCTTTATAATAAAAACATGACGAGGTACGAGGGGTGAAGTAGGTTCAATCCCTAACAATATTGGTATAGCCTCCGGGTCAATTTTAAAAAGGATAACCTATAAGTATCATGTCTTTGAGATACACTCCATACTGACACACGCGACACCTTGTAAAAGATCAATAGTATTAAATTCATTTTTTACAAATAGTATTAATTCTATTGCAGGGAGATGTTATGTAAAATATTAAAAATAATTAAGATTGAATGATTTGATTGGAAGGTAATAGTGAAAAATAGTGATATTCTTTTATCATTCTTGAATACATATATCACCTTTAAGTTTAAACTATTCATGACAATCCTTAATATATAGGGTTCTTTTATTCGAATCTCATGGACCAAGATGAAAATTCAAGATAGTGAAAACATATTTTTCCAAAATCGCATGTATTTGATTTGTGAAAAAATTATTCTATAGGTCATTTTTGTTTTCACCAATTTTCATTTAGGTTTATACAATTTATTTTATTTTAATCAAGCTCTTATAATATGACTGATTAAATATAATATTTATTAAAATTTAAAATTATTAATGAATAATTAAATTTTTCATAACAAAAACACTTTTAAAGTTTTTAGAAAAATTGATTTAATATTTTTAATCAAAAGAAAAAAAAAGTGATTTAATACATTGTTTCCCGTTTTTATCAATTATTTTATAATATATATAAATAAGTTATTTAGAAAACATAACTT